ACTGCCTGCCGGGAGTCCCCACCAAAGGCTCTTCTAGCCCTGCCACTGCCCTGGTCCCCTGCAGTGGGCCCCATCTCCTGTCCTATGTCCCTCTGTCATGGTGTGGGGTTGTCGGCTTGTTTTACTTTGATGCTGTCCCCTCCCCTTCCTGTCCTCCCCCTCCTCCTGCCGAGTGTGCTTGGAATTAACTTATTCACTCATTCAATGTTTATCCACAAGCATTTAAGGGAGAACGTGTCTGCAATCCCATGCCACATCCTGGGGATCCGGCAGCATCCAGGTAGACAAGGTTCCTACCTTCAGGAACCATCTTTCTATCCTGTGAGGCCAGAAGGCGGGAAGTTATAGTACGGAGCAGAGGCCCAGGTCTGGTAGCTGGAGGGCCATAGAGGACCCCTAGGAACAAGCTCGGGTTCTGCACGCCCTCAACATCAACCCACGAGGATCCCCTCCCAGTTGACTCGCCATTTCTAATCTTCACGATGAAGATCTAATGAACCTCTGTCTCCCTCTGCCCCCTCCCCGCTAGGACCCCTGACCCTCTTGGAGGGCATGTGGCTAGCCATTGGTGCCGCACAGGGTCCCAGTGCATGGTGACCTTCCTGAAGCCCTGAAGCTCAAGGACATTCAGGGGTCAGAGATGCCCACTGTGAGCACACTTGGCCGTATGAGCACACTTGGCCGGGGGGCTCAGGCCACCCCCCACCTCCTGTGAGCGCTCCAGCCCCTCCCCAGGGGCCCATGGGAAACTTTATCCCTCACAGTGGCCACCAGATTAGCAGCCCGGTCTTCAACCACAGCCCCTTTGAAGCAGTGCCCAGAAAAATAGCGTGCCCTCCAACGGCTCTCAGGACTTCCAGCTGGGGGGTCAGGTCGTTTGTAAGAGCAGAACAGCTGGCAACATCTCAGGAGCTGTCCAGAGCGCTTTATTTTCCTCTTACTGGAGATTTTGTTTGCTAGGAGAGCCCAGGGGCCCCAGGACAGGCCTAGCAGCAGGACCACCGTTAAGCCAAGGAACCTCCCCCCTCTGCACCCAGACCTGCAGACCACATCTGCAGACAGCGACTCCATTCCCAGAATGCCCTGGGATGGGGAGGGGGGCTGCAGTGATTTGAACAAACAGCCACGTCTGCTCTTTCTGGGGCCCATACAGCACAGATGCCAAGGACCACTGTCTTGGACATACCCTTTGGGTGGCTTTTAAAATAAACTAGGCTCCCCCACCTTTAACCTCCACAAGCTTCAGTAAGGAAGACTGGGGACACCAGTGGCCATCGATCCAAGGGGCCCATTGCATGCAGGGGTTCCCAGCCGGGAAACTTCCCTCCCGCTCACAACCGTCACTGAGAGACACTCAGTAAAGAGGGGTGAGAAAAACGAGCCCAGAAGATAGGTCTTCAAGCCCCAGCACGGCTTCTCAGAAAGAGCTCACGTGGAGGGTGTGGAGGAATGATTGGAAATGAGACCCGGGTGCCTTTGGAGGGGGCCAACCTCTGTTTTAAATAAAATAAATGGTAAAGATGCTGACGGCTGCCCCCTTTGGTTAATGTGGGTAAAGACGTGAATATAAAGGCAAAGGTTTGATTTCTGAAGAAGCCGCCTGGCCTGGCTGTGAGGCAGAGGCAGCAGCATCAGTGACACACAAGAAAAAGACCACGGGCCCCGGGACCACCTGACATATGCAACCCACTGACCCTGCACCTCTGACCATTCGGCAAATGCTTCTCGAGTGTCTACTACGTGGCAGGCACTGAACCGGGTGGCGGAAGATGACCGCCAGCAAGACATGCACACCTCAGAGAGTAGAGCCAATCCTTAAAACACACCTGCGAGACAGGCAGCAGCGTCTCCAGCGGCTACAGAATGAAAACGAGGCTCAGGCTAGTTAAGAAACCTGACAGAGGCCACACGGCGAGGAATGAAATCCAAACACGCCCAGGCACCAAGCTCACCCTCTTTTTGCTACTCAATATTTAACAAATCTGAAACCCTCAGTCAACAAGCCGAGTGCATTGGATGAAGGGAAAGGCTGAATTATCAGAGGAGGACAGCACCAGAGATGAACTCAGTTTGTTAAATACTGACCGAGAAAGCAGGAGGATGGTCATTGGTCACAGATCCGTGATAAGAATCCTGCTGGCGTGGTTCACGCTGCTGATTATACTATTTTTTTTAAGGTTATTAATTGTAATAGGGACTATCTTTCATCAGGTACTTACCTTGCAGGATCAGCAATGAATGTTTTATGTGGATTGTTCTATTTGAACCTTGAGGTTCAGGTGGTCCTTGGTCCTCAGCCCCGTCTTACAGAATCGAGGTGTACAGAGAATAAGTGGCTTTCTCAAGATCATTCTTGCAAGGAAACAGGGGCCCCACCATGCTGGTCCAGGTGGCCTGACTCTGCAGCTCTGTTTGCCATCAGTGGGCCACACCTTCCTTCCAGAAGCAAGTGTTTGTCCATAGTACCATGGGGGGGGGGCATATTCCATGGGCAGACTCTAGGGTGAGTGGGAATTTCAAGGTCAATGTAACCTCCTTTGAATTTCTTCATCGGTCCCCTCCCAGGGTTAATCTGCCCAGTGTACAGGTGTGTCCAACCTAGGTCAGCCTGTGCCCATGTTCAGCCTTATTTATTTATTTATTATTCATTCATTTATTTATTTATTTTGGTACAGGGATGCTTTAGTACTGAGCTAACATTCCCCAGACCCTTTTATTATCTATTTTTGAGACAGTCTCACCCAGTTGCTTAGGAACTGGCTAAGTTGCTGAGGCTGGCCTCAAACTCACAATCCTCCTGCCTCAGCCTCCTGAGTCACTGGGATCATAGGCGTGCAACACCATGGCCAGCACCATTTTTTGACTATAAGAAAATTCTCCTTCGTACTGCCTCTCTGTGTAGCCTGCTCCCAACTCGTTAACGCCTTGTGGTTACACAAAACGAGATATTTGAAAAGTGTGCCCATGTTCCCTAGTCACTCTCCATCTTGACGGTCCTTCCCCTCCTATGACATGCTTCTGAGTGATGAATACCAATCCCCAGGGTTCAGGGATCAGTGTACAGAGGTGAGAGAGTTTCCGTCTTCCCGACTCGAGATCCTCTCGCTGGGGGTCATTCCTCGTAAGGGTTCACCATCACCATTAAAAACCCCCAGTGTTAGTTACCAATTGGTTGAGAGGGTGGATCTCATGTTAAATGTTATCACAATCAAAGAAAATTAAGAAAATTCTAGTATTGTACACTTAAAGCAGATACTGTTTCCCAACTTTTGATGTGACTTAATAAATAACTCTGCATACTTTACTAATTAACTGTGCTTATTTGAGTGTGGAAATACAGGATGCGGGGGGGGAGGGGGTCTTATTACACAGAAAGGGTGGGGAAAGCGGAGAGAGAGAGCAGGAAGCACCTGACTTGGAGCTGGGAGGCAGACTCTCCTCCTGGTCCTTCCACTCCTTTGCTGTGTGAGTCTGACAAATCAGTTCCTCTCAGAGCCCTTCATTCTACAGAATGAAGAACTCGGACCTGGTGTGTCTGAATGCACCTGGCAACCTGAGGCTTAAGGCTATTGGACTATCACCTTCTATTTCCAATTCATGCCTCTTTTCACCAGTGAGAGTCCAAGGTGCCCTGTTCTCCCTGCTGCCCAGAACTGCATTTCTGAAAGGTTCATCCAACGTCAGCAATGAGGATGCTTCTGATGCCCCCTCTGACCTTGTCTTCAAGGTCTTTCTCAGCCTGTTTTTTGTCTGTACGATTTGACGTTGTCAAGACCGAGGTTAGAAGCAGGTACAGAGATCTGGCTTCTCATTAGCCCACCTGGCCAGTCAATCGCGCCATTCAAACGGGCAGGGCCTGTTTGCTACCTTGAGCACTCTGCAGACCCATGACCTTGCCACCAAGTGCGGCGATATCAGGGTTCCCCATTGGGCTCCTTCCCTCAATTTTAGTGACCATCACCTGTTTTCTTCATTAGCCACCAGCATCATCTCCTCCTCCCCCTCCTTCTCCCTCTTGTCAGTAACACTGTGTTTTCCAACGGACAGTCCAACAGAGAGCTGATCAGTCAAAATGGAAACAAACCTGGGGTGGTTTCTGTTGTCAGCGTGCTTACAGGGGCGCTGGACATGACTGCCGATCTACATGTCCCCATCCCACCTACAGAAGTCCTAAGAAGGCTGAGAAGGTGAGGGGCTTCTGTCTCTCATCTCCCAAACCTGTGTTCACCCTCGGAACTGAGACTGCTGTTGGGATGGCATCTCCCAGGGTGCCATCTATTGTCCCCACCGACCAAGTACAAAGACCATCAAGTGCAAGTACTGTTATGGTTTGGATATTAGGTTCCCCCAAAGGCCCCCTGTGAGGCAACGCAGGGAGGTTTAGAGATGAGCGGATTGGGTTATGAGGGGCTTCACCTCACCAGGGCATTGGTCCCCTGATGGGGATTAACTCGGTAACCGTAGGTAGGTAGGGCATGGCTGCAGGAGGGGGGCCATGGGTGTGCCTTTGGGGTTTGTCTTTGTCCTGGTGAGCAGCACCCTATTTCTCTGCTTCCTTGATCATGTCCTGAGCTGCTTGCTTCCCCACACTCTTCCTCCACGATGTCCCACTCGGCCCCGAGGAATGGAGTTGGCCATCTATGGACTGACACCTCTGAAACCATGAGCCCTCAAATGAACTCCTCCTCCTCTGAATGTTCTCATCTTTCAGTCACAGCAGGAACACAAGCTGACAAAACCAAGTACCACGTAGCAGGTGACGTGCCACGTACCGAGGACCACCAGGAAGATGACCTCCAGCTGCTCCTGCCCAGAGCAGCTGGGTCCCAAGTGGCTCAGAGAGAACAGAAAGGAGCCCCCTCAGAGGACGCTAGCCCACTCCGCTCTCCCCTGGTCCTTCCAATTCCCCTGTGGCATGGGACAAGGGACACTCCCCACCCCATTATCTCTCCTAAGAGAAGCAGAGCACCCTGGAGGGTTTATTTCAAATGCTCCCCAAGCTCCTCAGGAAAAGCTGCTCTCCAAACGGGAGGGCACTCTCTTCCCCCCAGCGGGGGCTCCGTGTCGTCCAGAAGGGCCCATGGGAGGCACAGGGGCCAAGCAACCACCTTGACTTCAACTTCAACCGCTTCACCCCGAACCCAGCCAGCCTGATCCCAGCCGTAGGAGTTTCTATTTTTGAAACTGAAAATAGTCCTCACTCTTCGCTTTGTCAGTATTTTGACCTTCATTTCCCTCCTCCCCACCCCCATGCCCCTGGTGGGCAGAGGGAGGGGGGCAGTTGGATTTTTTTTTAAGGCCAAACAAAAACAAAACCTTGTCCAGGCCGAGGCCAGCCGCTCACCATGTTCCGGGCGGACTCTGCTACGTGCCAGCAGTGACCGTCAGCAGGATCTGCAGGAAACACCTTGCAGAACCCACTAGGAGAAGCCAGAGGAGTGTGAAGCGGATACGCTGCTGAGGCCAGGCACAGGAAACGGCGTTGGAACTCCAGGGACCAGAGGGCTAACTCACAAAGGTGGTGGGGCCTTGTCCATCCCTCGGGTGTTTCCCAGGGGGGGTTCCTTTAATTGCTTATCTTTTCCCAACTGCCCACTGCCCATGCATGTTCTGTGCTAGGGAGACTCTAGAAGGAAGGGGAGAGGTGACTTCCCAAGGGTCTTCTAACCCTGATGTTAGCAGAAGTGCCACCTCTGTAACAGGGGTGCACAGTGCAGTTGGCCAAGTGCACAAGGACTCAGGCAGCCAGGAACCCAGAGTCAATTCCCAGCTCCAACTTCCACTACTCTTGAGCAAACACCTCACTTTCTTCACCTTGAACTTGGAGAGGTCACTGTGCATTCCCTGTGCATATGCCCCACAAGGTCGTGAGGATGGAGATATGAGCAAAAGGACTCCGCCCGGTGCTCGGGGCACAGCAGCCACTCAGGAAACTGTGAGCTGTGATGATCGGGGGGTGGTCCCCTTTCCCAAGGGAGGGAAGAGGCCAGCGGACAGCAGGAGAGAGGACCAAGTGCCTCCGAGAAGAGAAAAAAGAACACGCACGGCACCAGCGGGCCCCACACGGGCCCCTGCAGGCTCACAGCCTCGTGCCAACCCTGCCCGGCCTGGAGCGCAGGCTGCCCCACTTACTCTTGTTCAGGGCATTTGGGTTTCAGGTCAGGTTGTAGCGCTGGGGACGCTGAATAGTATCAGTCCAAGTGGAATGAGCCCCCGGAGTGCGGAGAGCCCGGCAAGAGGCGGGCAGAAAAGGCAGCACTAGAAACGCTGACCTCTCACGACGGCCCAGCTGCGCCCCGGCCTCCCTGTACCCGCGGGTGGGAGAGTTTGGACGGGTCCCCGGAGGCATGTCAGAGTGCACCAGCCCCCGAGCCTGCCTTCCGGAGGAGCCGTGAGTGTGGGAAGCCAGCCCCGAGGAGCCAAGTGAGGACGGAGGGCCATGGGCTGGCAGGGCGGCCCGGGCCAGGGTCAGCGGCCAGAGCCCGGCATTGTTCCGGCTGGAGAAGGGAACAGCCAGTGGCCAGCATTCTGTGGGAGGCCGCAGCAGAACGAAGGCCAGGCCCAGTCCAATTAGGGTCTGATGGAAAGCAGGACCACTGTTCAGAAACAGGAGGCAGGCGGCCGGGCCGCGGGGCAGACGGGAGCATCTGGCTCCCATCAGCTCCCAGGCCAAGAAGCAGGCCTACATGTGGGCGCGAATGTAACGCCAGGGCCCGGGGCCCGGGTGGCACCCCCGCCCCCACCCCGTCTCTGCTGCAATGAGGTGCCAATTGGGGGCCCAGCGGGGCAGAGGGGACATGTTCCTTACTGGGCCCGCTGTTTGGGAACAATTACAGGCTTCTTTCGGCACCAACAAGAACAGGAAGCCGGGGAGCACTTTGAACCACCAGGCGTGATCATGAAAGGAGGCTCCAATCAAAGAGGGCATCGGCCTCGTGTTCACGCCGCTCAGGCCTCTGGCATGGGACTGAAGTCGGCCGTGGTGCAGGGCGGATGTTGAGAAGTCCCAAGCTGAATCGAACAGGTCATTGTTTGTCCCTGTCCCCTCTTCTTCAACAGGACACTCCGAGGGGTAGAATTGGTGCCAGGGTCAGCTGGGAACTTGTGCCAAATTCACGTCCACTGCAGGGAGCAGTTGGTGGCCTCTTCCAGGCCTCGAGGCTGACCCTGGGGCCGTGGGGAGGGAAGGACCAATCTGCCCCCAGAGAGCCCCATTTCTGTCTTCCCTCCCCCATGAGGGGGACCCCTGATGAGGGAGAAAGTGCGTGAATTTCCTCCACGTGACTGTCTCTGTAGCCACTCCCCCTGCCCGTCTGGGAAGGCCAAGTGTAGGGGTGCCGAGGAGGAGCCCAACACGTGGAAGGAACGCAAGCTACAAGGGTGGGGTGCTGTGTCCCCCAGGTCAGCTGCCCCGTGAGCAGGGGCTGGGAGCCTTAGTTCTAAATGCCTGGACCTCTAACTCCTGGGGCACGTCTCCTCCTGTCCCTGGGCCTGCGTCCCCCATTGGGGAGTGGAGAGTCTGTGAGTCCGGGTGCCCTGCCTGTGTCTAGAAAGCTCACCTGGAGGAGCAGAAGAGACTTCTTGAGATTCCGGCCCCTCCTCCCTGGGAGTCTGCCTGCAGCAGGTGGCTGGATCCCTGACCTCCTTCGGAGACTCCCGCTCAGGCAGCAACCACCAACAGATGGCAGAGTGCCCCAGGGCCGGTATCTCGGCATGATCTGCTGCTTTCCATCAACACGGAAGAATGTGGCCCCGAGAGGCAGTGTGCCCCTAAGTGGCTCTAAGAACACTTCTGCGTGAGTTTCACCCACTCCAAGCCTGGAGCACAGCTCTGCCAGTCTCCAGTCTGGGGAAGTACGGCAGGACACGTCACCTGTCTGAACCCCCATTTCCCCATGCCTCAAAGGGCACTCCCTCATGCATTTAATAAACATTAGAGTTTCAAAGTAACTTTGAAGCAGTGAGCAAGTTGAACTTGAACTCTACTCTGGGGAGGGCGGATTGGCCTACAGGATGGTAGAAGAGACAGACCAGGCAGTAAACAAAGCCCCAACACAAAACCAGGTACTAGGTGAAAGTGGGATAGAGACAGCGTTGGGAGGCGTGGGAGGGATTTTTAAAGGAAGGTCTGTCTGGGAAGTGATCTTGAGTTGAGACCTCCATGATGAGAAGAAGTCAGAGATATCCAGGCAGAGGGGACAAGTTCCCTCAAGGCCACGAGGCCAGGAACAAACTTGGAGCCAGGAGCATTTGAAGAACAGCTAGAAGTGCATGGTCAGAGTAAAGCAGGGAGACACAGAGGCCAGACCTCACAGAACCTTCTAGAACTTGTTAAGGAGTGGAGAAGCCATGGGAGAGCTTTGAACAGGGAATTGCTAAGATGTGAGTGACATTTCAAAAAGTGCACTCCGGCTGCTTTTTTTTTGGAGAAAGGATCGAAGGGGCCTGCCGAGAAAATGCAGGAGTTAATAATAGTCCTAGCTACCTTCCCTGTCCACCTCCCCAGGGCCTTGTAAACCTCACATGAGATTCATGCTGACACCCAGAAAAGCCCAGAGGCACGGGTGGAGGTACACATTGTCACATGCTTTAAAATCCCCTGCACAAGTAGGAGCTTGCAGGGCCTGGCACCAGGCTACTTGGAACCAGGCTCCTGTATAGATTTCAAGGAACCAGGGCAGGGTGGCAGACTCTGCCCTGCCCAGCTCTGCAGCTGTCCAGGCCCAGATGAATCCACAGATTTAAACCGGGAGCATTGCTCTGGGCCACTCCCGGCTCTGCTTTTGCCGCTGGTGCCGGACAGGGGTAAACTAACACCCAGCAATGCAGAGAGGCTGACTCTCCACTCCTCAACTCCTGGCCTGGTGCACGCTCTTCTCTCCTGACCTCCCTTTCAGGACTGGGAAGGAAAGACCAAGAGAGCTGGAGAGCTGTCTAATTTAGGGACCTTTCATTTGAGCGTGGCTCCCAAGAGGATAATGACTGGGCACCCACACAGGGCCCAGGGATTTAAAGTATGGTGACCGCAGCCCGCTTCCTTCCCCAGGGCCTCCAACTCGGAGGCTGGAGGCCGATCCCAATATCTGCCGCTGGGTTCCCTACAGTGGAATGGCAGGGACCAGAACGTATTGGAGGGTGCCATGTGGATCAAGAGGGAAAGCTGAATGGCTCGCTCCTGGGCACCTTTGGGGTGAGAGGCTGGGGCTGAACCTGCTAAATGTAATACCATGTAAAATGTCAGGAAGTGCAGAGAAGAAAATAATCAACAAGATGATATGGAGGGTGTATCCGGTTTAAAAAAAAAAAAAAGAATTCTGTGTTAACTTCTCAAGAGTTCCACTCCCTGCCACCTGTACAACAGAAATGCCGAAATTTCCCAAAACTTGACAAAGTGGGATTGGGGTACCTGCTTTCCTACTGCAGTTCCTGGTCCTCACGTTCCCTGTAGTTTCCAGAGCCTTCTCTGTGGTTTTTATTTTCTTATCTTATTTCTTTTGACATATAAGTTTTGCAACTTCACTTGCTTGGGGGGGGGTAGGCAGGAAAAAGTAAATGGAAAGAAAACTATCATTTTTTAAATAACCTGAAACTCCCACCATACAGTGGTAGGTACCCTTTGCATTTATATTTTACATCCGGGACTTTTCCCTCTGCTGCTATAAGCCTGTAGAGAATCACAGAGACCATCCTCGTGGGCAATCCAGGTTCTTTCCATGCAAATGTGTCAGTTCACATAGCTCTGCCTCTTCCCTTGCAATCGCCGTGTTGTGTTCGACTGCATAGATGCAGAACCATTTGTTGGACATTTTCCTAAACCACTCTGATAAACATCCTTGCCTGTTTATATTTGATACATACACATATGTACAGATAAATATTTACATGCCTGTATATATACACAAGCACATACACAATGTGCGTACACAGAGGCATCCTGACATCCTGACCCGACGATTTCCTCTGGGTCTAGAAGTCCTCTCCTCTTTTTAAACCTGTCGTTTTAGTAGTCGTTGAATTCCAATCAGCAGACCCTCTGCCCCCATGAGCAAGCCCCTCTGCAGATAGCATAATTGAGAAACCATTAAACGTGGTTATCCGGGCCCCACGAGCTCAATCCTACCTCCTCACATCCTCCCAGCCATGGTCACTGTCCCTACTCCACAGAGTCCAGCTGGTGGCCAAGCCTGAAACAAATTCTACACGCCTGACTCCTTCTCCAGTCTCATTGGACCCAGCCTGCTACTTCAGAGTTACAAGGTCTAAGTTGACATCCCAGGACAGATGGGGCCACCAGGAGCTCAATCACAAGCCCCAAAGTCACTGGTCAAGACCACAAACGAGGTCCCTCCCAGCCTTCCACGCGCTCCTTGGCTCTGAGGCCCCGAGCCCGGCTGGCGGCTTTAGTATGCCACAGGCGTAGGGAGCATCCCTCTGGTCAAACAGTGAATGAAAACTGCCTCCTCTTTTTGCTCAGGCATCAAAGGCATCTGCCTCCCGCACTGGTCCTAGAGCAAAAGGACGGGAGCAGAGGAAATGGGTCCCAATGTGCCTTCTGAAGGCAGCCTTGCTAATGACCCTTCAACTAATAAAAGTAACCTGCCTTTTATCAGGGCACGAGGAGTCTGCACCATGCACACGCACCTCCAGTCAATTTGGATTCAGCAATTCTGTTTGGCATGGGCAAATGCATTTACATATAAATATGATTTTTAACTGTGCAAAATATGCACACGCACGTGTGCAGACACACTCAATTTTAAAAGAGCACTTCCTCCCCAGTGATTCCTGGGAGCTGGCAGGGGTCTGCTGTCATTTCAGGTGGTAGCAGTCCCCGTATGATAATGGGGTTTAAAGATACAGAAGGAGACTGTCTTATGTTGTCCCTTTCCCTCGCCCTGCAAAGCAACTCAAAGCTGAAGCAAGAGGTGGCCCCCGTGGAGGGATAGGGAGGAGGCACCGTGTTCAAAAGCCACCTGAGAGGTGTCTGACCCTCCTAAGCACCACCTCTCACCTTCCTCCGTGCGACTGCATACAAGGTCACTGCATGACCTTTCCATCTGTAGGTGTCAAAATACCTTCACCTGCCGCACCCTGCACCCCTTGTACAGGTGGTGGTGGGGTCTGTGGCAGGGTGACTTGCCCTCAGCACTTCCCAACGGGGATTCCACTCTGACTGCAACCCAGGTCTCTTCACACCGCCTCCCTCCCAGCCCCCAAGTGGCCTCTTTCTCACTGCCACGGCCACCAAGTTTCTTCCTGCCCGTCAGTCACCATGCTGCAGGCCCAGAGCCCAAAGCTCATGGCCCCCACGTCTCCCTTTGTGATGCTGCGCCCCCCCCCCAGTTGCTCTTCCTGCTGGTGGGAGCTCACCCACGGCAGTCCACCCCTTCCAGGCCTGGCCAGCTCTGACCGATGCACAGGACCCTGGCTACTTGTAGGGACAGGAAGGGCCTACTGCATCCTGATTTCTACGGCTCTGTTTGGCAAGCCCCCAGGTACAGATCTGGCTCCTCTATTTAGCAGAGGAGCAGAGGAAACCCACCCCACCCACAACCCTGCCCAGGAACACCCGCTACGTTCACCCCCGTGGCAGGTCCCAGCGGGTCTCTCTCCCACCACGGGTGCCTCAGAGACAGAGGAAGAATTCACAGGAGGAATCAGGGCTTACAGGGAACAGAGCACAGGATGCAGAGCCCCCAGCAGCCAAGGGGGAGCACCCCGGGAAGGGATGGGTTGTGTTGGCTTCCCACCACGGAAGCTTCTGGATCCTAAAGCAGGGGATCCGCTGAGCCTTGTTTTCTCACCATTGTTCTTTTATCTGATTACAAAAGTCATGTGTCACTGTTGTGAAATTTTATTTTCCAGAAAATGCCAGCCAAAATTAAAATCCATCCAGAATCCTACACTCCAGAGGTAACTGGGGTGGATATTTGGTATATAAACATTCAGACCTTTCTCTAAGCATCTATATGGATATTCATAATTTTATTTTTAATAAACCAGTTTTTGTTGCTCAAAAGTGCATCCTGGGTTACTCCCACAATGATGCACTTAAAAAAACAAACAACAACAACAACAAAAACCCTCAAGCATATTTCATGGGTCCCTGGCTGTCCACTGAATGAGTGCGCCATCATTGAGGCAATCTATTTGCAACAGACACTTTCGCATTGCCTATGAATTGTGGGGGGGGGGGGGCACTAAATTTCTAAAAGTCTGATTGCTAGTTAATTGCACATTTGGGGGGCTGCTCTGGATGCTGAGGGTTAGACTCTTCTCCTGAGAGGTGACAACACGTGAACACGTGCTTTTCCTCTCAGCAGCCCTGGAAGGTGAGACCCAGTGTTGCCAAGATGGGAAATGCCAGTACCAGGATTTCCCCCCAGGGTCCTGCCAGGCCCAGAATACCACCTGGAAATCCCCAAAGGCTTTGGCACATGAGAAGAGCCCGCGGGGGAGAGGACTGACAGACCTGACAGACGGGGGTCCGGCTCCTCCCCCCACAGAGCTCAGAAGCAGGCAGCGTGGGCGGGGAGTGTCAGGGCCTATTTGGGGCCATGATAAATACTTGTCCCAACCACTGGAAGCTGCCTTCCTTCCCTCTCCAACCAGAGGTGTGGCCCTGGGGCAGGGCTTCACCTCCCTCAGCCTGATTTCTGTCCGTCTGTCCTGTCCTTCCCCTGAGACCTTCTTCCCTCTGTGATCTTAGAACCAGCCTTAAGCTCAGAGCAGACAGGGCCCCACTCTCCGCCCTCCATGTCCCCAGTCATTTCCCTGTCCTTGATCTGTTCATTATGAATCCATTTTTATGACCCCTACCCCTCACGAGGGCCACTGTTGATACGAGCACGGCAGTGAGGACCCTGTGGTGGTCATCTCCCACCCACCTTCCCATCAGCCCCGAGGTGGAAGTGGGATCCTTCCTAGTTCTGCAGCTGGGAACACCAAGG